ACACACACACACACACATTCGATATGTCTTATCAGTCGAGTTGACATACTAGTTTTTGAAGAGATGGCAAATGGTCTTTTATACTCAACTTTGTCATAGGCAAATAATCATCATTTTCTTTGCGTCCCTCTCTCTCTCTCCCTCGTTCGCTCTCTCTCACTCTCTCTCATGTCGGTTATCAGAGTGGCGAACGCCTATGCATGCTTGAAGTAAGAAAGATGCAGGCGATATGTCTGTTGTAGTGATGATAGTAGCATAGATAGTGTGTATTCAATTAATTGATCTATCATTGAAAAGCATCAGTAACAGAGCATCTCAACTTGAGATATACAAACATACTCGCACGTTAACTTTCCAGCAAGAAAAAAAAGCTTGATGACACTTATCTTCGACAGTTTGATGAAAGGCTAGTTAACGATCATTATATTAAATGAAAATTATTATAAGTATATAGATAGTTATATACAATTACAAGTTTATCTCTTGTCGATATAGAAGAATCATTAATAGAAAAATAAGTTATACGAATAGATGATAGTAGAAACAATATATAATATTGAAATATTAAGTAAGATAATAATAATGCATAATAGTAAATATGTTCTTTTTTTTCTATACCTGATAAAGAGAAGAAGAAAAAAATCTAACAAAACGACATATAGCTGTCAGATGGATTTCTTTCTCATATATATACATTATGACTAAGGATTCGAGTAAGTATTTAAAAGTATTATTTCTTATATTTATCATAAATCAGATTTATTTGTAAATATGCGTTTGTACGTTTAGAATAATAATATAACGAAAAAAAATATCGCAATAATCTTAAACTTTTTTTTTCCTCCCTTTAGTTTTTATTTATATCCTTTTTTCTATCGAAAAAAAAATTATAGATAAGACTGTAGTTTAAATGATAGGACTGTCTTCATAGTTAAAACAATTGAGAAGTCTGAGTATGTAGGTCTGTTGTAGAGATATCGTCAATTATGAGGCAAATCAACGACAAACCCGGTTGATTCTCTATAGATATAGATACATGTCAAGTAAAGAGACGAAACAAGAACATCTACTAATGATTGCGAATAAAACTTATGATCGACCTGAAACAAAAAACTTACTTGTGACAACTACAACATCATCATCGATAGTAGAAACAACAAAAACATACGATACGATAATTGTACAAGGTAATCGTGATAATTGGAGTAATCGAGTTGTCTATCTATTATCAATTATTGGTTTTGTTGTTGATCTTGGTAAGTCTAGTTTTTTCTTCTTCTTCTTCCCATGAAATAAATTTATTTTAATTCTTTTCATTTTTCATAGGCAATGTTTGGCGTTTTCCAACAACATGTTATCGAAATGGAGGTGGTGCCTTTCTTATTCCTTATTTTACATTTTTATTTCTTGTCGGTCTTCCATGTAAGTTTACTTTTCTTAAATAGAATTTTTTTGTTTTATTTTCTAAACAAAAAAAGGCATGTATATGGAATTGGCTATTGGACAATATCATCGTCTTGGTTACATTACAATATGGAATAAAGTTTGTCCACCTTTGAAAGGTATTGGTTATGCAATGTTAATTATTAATTTCTATGTTTTATCTTATTATAATACAATTATTGCTTGGTCAATTCATTATTGTATTGCATCATTTCGTGCCATTGTACCATGGACATATTGTAAAAATGCTTGGAATACAGATCATTGTTATTCATTACATGAAACACAAAGTCTTAATATAACACATAATGCATCATGTTCATCAGCTGATGAATATTTTGAACGACGTATGCTTAAATCTCATTTATCACCAAGTATTAATCAATTAGGTTCATTACAATGGGAATTAGTTGGATGTTCAATGATTGTTTTTCTTCTTATCTATTTAGTAATATTTAAAGGAGTTAAAACAGCTGGTAAAGCAATATGGTTTACAGCATTAGCACCTTATTTTGTACTTGCTATATTATTATTTCGTTCATTAACACTTGATGGAATATTTGAAGGTTTAAAATATTATGTTAAACCATCATTTGAACGTTTAGGTGAATATTCTGTATGGCAAGCAGCTGCCGTACAAATATTTTTTAGTTTAGGACCTGGTTTTGGTGTTTTACTTAGTTATGCTAGTTTTAGTGATACACATGATAATGTTGCTAATACAGCATTAATTGCTAGTTTAATTAATTGTTTTACTAGTTTATTATATGGTACAGTTGTTTTTGCTGGTCTTGGATATTTATCATATCGTTTAAAAAGTGATGTTAAACAATTTACGGAAAGTAATATGGGTCTTGTTTTTGTTGTTTATCCTGAAATTTTAACATCAATACGTGGTGCACCTTTTTTTTCTATCCTATTCTTTATTATGCTTCTTACATTGGGACTTGATAGTGTATTTGCCGGTGCTGAAAGTGTATATACAGCATTATCTGATGAATTTCCAATACTTGCACGTTCACCTCGTATATCACGTGCATTTGTTGTATTAATCCCATTTTTAGCATCAATACCAACATTAACAAATGGCGGAAAATATATTGTTCATTTTATGGATTTTTTTGGTACATCACCATCAATAATGTTTATTGTTTTATGTGAACTTATTGCAACAGTATGGCTATATGGAATGGATAGATTTAATGAAAATGTTGAAACAATGACTGGACGTAAACCAAGTATTTATTGGCGTATTACATGTCGTTATATAGCTCCATTAATTCTATTTGTTCTTTATGTATGTTCATTTATTCAATATGATAGTCATGAATTTACTTCATTTGGTGATAAAAAAACTGTTACCAGAGTAAGTATTGCTGGATGGACAATGAGTACAATATCAACATTACCTATACCACTTTATGCAATTTGGTGGTTTATATTTCGACGTAATACAAATACGACTGAAGAAACAACAACAACAGTTATTGAAGAAAAAATGCCAATGAAAACTACTGCTGATGCATAATAATTATTTATTGAATGAGTATTAATTATTTGAAAGAATGAATTATAATCTCATAGAAATAAACAAGACACAATTTATATAATTATCTGTTTTATTAGACAGTAGATTATTTTATTTTATTTTATTTTATTTTTTTTGTGTAATATGTGTAGATTTATCAAAAAGTCAAAAAAAAAAGTTTGTGTGTGTATAAAATAAATATCAATAAAGTTCTCGATCATAATTGAAACAATATTGAAAAAAAAAGACTAAGATTTCTACAAAACTACTGAACAAACTTCCACGGTATTCTTCACATGAGACTTTGAGAATAAAGACATATGGATAATATTTTTTTCTCAGCCTTGAACTTTTTCTTTTATCATAGATAAAAAAATACGTATATTTATCATACGTTTTATTTGAGAAAAAAGAGTAATATGTGTAATGCTTAGAGCATTGAATGCTTTATTACTCATGATTATATACAGAAAAATAAATATCATTGTTTATTAAACACTGTCGAAGAGTAAATAACTTTGAAGAAATTTAGGTACATCAAGTTTTTGTACGGCTCGATCAATTCGTATTTTAATTGATGAATTAAATAAATGTGTACGAATTTGTTTTCGTAAAATATTTTTTAATGTACATGGTGTTGTTGCACGTCGATAAATTTCTTTTTTAACATTTTCATCAAGTTCCATAGATTCAGCTAAATAACTGGGATGAAAACAATAAGCTGCATCACATAGTAATTCAATAAAATATGGATTTGATTGAAAACGACGTAAGAAACGAAGAACACTATCTGAAACGAGAGAAAAAACAGTCAGTTTTTAATAACTAAATCTATATAGATGATATGTGTAAACCTCGTCCTCGTGAAAATGATATTCGAGCACCATAACTAAAAAGTAAACGAATAATACGCATATCAAGTCGTCGATCTTGAGCATGTTTAATATAAGCAACTAATGGGGTCCGAAATGGAACATGTTGATGATGATGTTGACGATTATTTGAAACAGATTGATTTGGTTGAGCATCATTTTCAAGAAGACATTTAATAATATTATATTGATTTGTAAGATATGAACATTGACAAGCAAGTATTAATGGTGTTATACATTCAACATCTTCATTTGTTTCTTCATTTGTATCAGCACCAAATGCTAAAAGAAGAAATCGTATCATATATATATAAATTAAATATCAATTTTTACATACCAATTAAAAGTTGAATTATATCAATTGCATCTTTTCGAATAGCTAATTCTAACGGTGAATTACATAATTCTGGATTTTTATTAGTAAAACCACCGGAAGTTAATAAATGTTCAACAATATCATTTCGTTTTGATTCAATAGCTGTAACAAGAGCATTACGTTGTCGAAATTTTTTTGTTACATAATTAACATTAGCTCCATAACGACATAATAAAATGACAGCACCTATATTTCCTTCACGACAAGCTTTTATTAATGGTGTAATACCACTACGTGAAAGTGCATTTGGATTAGCACCATATTTAAGAATTAATTCCAATGCATTATAATTCTCATAAGGTAATAAATTAATTTCATAACCAAGAAAATATTGTTGATTTACATCAGCACCAGAACAAAGAAGTAAACGTGCACATTCAATATGATTATTTTCCAAACAAAGACTCAATGGTTCGATCATTAAATCATAATAAGGTACAGCTATTGAACGAGTTTGACTATTATTTGTTGCTGCTATACGAAAATTAACAAGAGAACCATGATCAATTAATAAATGCATGATATCAATAAAACCATATTTAGCAGCTAAATGTAAAGGTGAATATCCAGCTTCGTCTAATATATTTACATCTGCATGATAGTCTTCAATAAGTAATCGAACACATTCAAAATCATTTTCAAATGCAGCATAATGTAATGGTCGAAGACCACGTCGAACACTTCCATCAATATTTATATATTTACAACTGTAGATCGAAAAAAACAAGAATTATGGAAAGAAATACAATTAAGCGTAAAAAAAATACCTGAGAATGAGTTTAATATCATTGGGAGATGAATGTTGTACAATAGCATCTCGAAGTAATAATAAAAGTGAATCCTCATCCATATGGCTAGCAATAGTTTCTTCAGTCATTTTAATTTGTACAATTGAAAGATTATATTATTTCCTTTTTCTTTTTTTTTACATCATCTTATTTTTCCAATCGAATATATATAGAGATAAATTTGTACTTGTCTTTGACCTTAGAGTTTTCCTTTCCTTCCTAGCATTGCAGCATCATCTGATATTTTCTTGTGCTTTCTTTGCGTCGAAATTGTTGTCTCGTGTACATAGAATAATATATATACGGTACAAATGTTATAAACAACGAGAAAATATACGTAATAACCCACGATTACTCAGTGCCAGTTATCCAGATTGCTGATTATTGTCGTATATAGCTTTTTTTTTATACCGTGTGACAAATGGCGACAATTCATAGATGACAAATGAATATTCACAAATAATATTGTTAATTGTTTCATCATCTTCGAGTGTTTTTCTTTTCCTTTCTTTTTCTTTAAAATAATATAAATTCGTTAAACAATAGATTTCAATTAAATTTTATTTTATAATAAGAAAGAGCAAATCTTTTGTTCATACTACTGAACAATCAATTATATTCTTATTCATTATATATGATGAATAGAAGGACAAATCATCAAGACTATTATTATTATCGGTCAAGCAAATGAAAAAAAAATAAATTGTGTGACCGAAATGCACTCGATCACATCTGTATACTTCACAGTAATGAGAATGGAATTATGTCGGTCAGTTCGACCTCCTTATGTATATATAGACAATCGGACAATAATAATGTATAGGTCATAACCGAAGAAGAAGAAAAAAAAGAATTGAACAAATATCATCATAAACTATAATATTGTAAATGAATTTTTATTTAAAAAAAAATAAATCTAGAAAAACAATTAGTTGACCTGAAAATTTATTCTATTATAAAGAAATTTGCGCCTATAAGATTGATATGATTTAAATAACTATCCAGAAGTTCAGTGTGTTTCAAAAAAAAAATCATTTGTTTTTCTAGGTCATATTAACCTATTTCCCTTTTTCTCTTCATTTGCACTTGAGAAAAAGAAGAAGAAGAAGAAGAAAACGACGAAGAAGGTCATCGCATGATGTTGTCGGTCATCCATTTGATAATTCCTCTCTGTTCTCTTCTCTCTATTCATTCACATATACATGTATATATGTACAATGGTCATTTAATCATGAACATGATAGAAAAGAGAACAAATATATATATTTTTATATGTATCTAAGGTCAATAACTATACAACAGCCAATGTTCGATGAGAGTGTTGTGTATGTAGATACTCATAAGAAAGAGAATAAGAGCATAACGGTCAACTAGAAGAGGGTCAAGTTGACCTAACTCATGTTGACCGTAGACATGTACACATATGTATCTCATTACTCTCTGCCCTAAATAACAAAAATAAATGAACTAGGGCAACGAGAGAAAAAGAGAGAACTATACAAGTAGAACATAGAGAGAAACAAAGGTCAGTTTCGTGCCTGAGTCCGACGCGAATAGACGTATATTACCATCATCATCATCATCATAATTATTGTTACTGTTTGAAAAAAAACAATGACGACTAGCATTCAGGTTTATATCTTATTTATTTAACTATTCTAAGAAAATCTATATATATATATCCTATAATTCTTATAGAAAATGCAGTCAAATGATCTACATCATTCATCAACAAATTCATTTGTACGTTCACCTCATTTACTTGCTAATGATTTACAATCACAGTTAACTATGCTTTATGCACTTACTCAGCAACAAATATCATCGCCATCATCATCATCTCCATCTGATTTAACATTAGAATCTCAAATAAAACGTATCAAGTATGTTCTTTTCATGTTTATAGAAATAATTTAACATATACATATTTTTTGTAGAAAAACAATGCCACTGCCAAATGAACCTCCTTCTCAAATACCATTAATATCTGCAACAAATTCTCGTTCAAGTTCAACTAGTGATCGTGAAGTTGTTAAAGTTGTTACAACAGCTGGACCACAATGTGTTGATAAAGAATTTTTAACTCAATTATTATTACGGAAAGATGTTATACCTGCACGAAAACGTCGTGATTTTATTCCAAATGAAATGAAAGATGATCATTATTGGGAAAGAAGACGTAAAAATAACTTAGCTGCTAAACGTTCACGTGAAAAACGACGTTTCAATGATATTGTTTTAGGTAAAATTGATTTTTACATCATTGAATTTCGAAATAATTTCTAATCTTTTTTTTTCTTTTATTCAATAGAAACAAAAGTTGTAGAATTATCAAATGAAAATGATGCGCTAAAAGCAAAACTTCATTTAATGTTATCACGTTTAAATATGAAAGAAACAGAAATGGAAAGTTTATTCGAAGAAGAACAACGTCTTGGTCATATCTGTTTGAAACCAGCAACATTAGCATCAACAATGCTTAGTCATCGTACAGGTACAAGTGATGATGATGATTATTCATCACAATCAACAAGACCAAAACATTTTTCATCATCTGAAACTCACGATGACGATGAAGTAGAATCAACAACATTTGATGATAATCCTTTACATACACGTGTTCAACATCCATTACTTTATAATCAATTACTTGGAAGTAATAATGGAAATGGTGCAGTTGATTTAAGTCGAACAGAAGTTAAAACAGGAAATTTATTAACAACAATTTCAAATAAAAGTCCACCACCATTAACACCATCACCATCACCACCAAATGAATCTTTATTACAAATTCTTGCTAATCAAATTCTTAAAACAAAACAACCTGAAGCTATAACATCCTCACGTTTATTAACAATTGCTTCACCAACTGATACTAAACCAAATCTATCAACATTGAAAAGAAATTTTAATCAAATACAACAAGATGATGAACAACAAAAAAAATGGGATGAAGCAGCAATGGCATTACTTTCATTAAATAAACCACCACCACCTCCACCAGCACCCACTGAACAACAAACAGCACTTCAATCAGTTTGTCAATCAGTTATTAATGGTTTATTACGTAAACCAAATCCTCCTCGTGCTACAATTGATTATCATAGTAATAATCAACAACAAATGCAAGGTGAAAATTTCCATCATCATCACCATCATCATCACCAGCAACAACAAGAACAACAACAACAACAAGATAATATCAATTCATTGAATCAATTAAAAACATTAATGAATTATTTTTCTACATCATCAAATAATTCTTTTTCAATGCCGCCATTACAACAATCATCAACATGTGTTTCCCAACAAATTCAAACAATTAATAACCATACACAACAATCACATGAACCTCGAGGTGATATGATGCCTTTAAAATTGCGTATGAAAATGTTGAATGCTAAAAGTTAGAAGAAAACAAAACGAAGTTTGTAAGATGGAGGGACTGGACGAAACTCGCAACAGTGAAACGAACAGTGTTCGTCTTTATGCGATGAGCCAAGCTTATTATTTAGTACAGGAGATAATGGCGGCGAGGTGTGAGCAGCGACACACTCCGAATTAGGAGATGATTGTACAGAGTTGACGGCGCGCTAGACAGTGTGCGGTCGAAAGAACGCAGGCGAGGCCCTCCATTACAGTTCGGCGCTCACCGAGGCGACCTGCACAGATCATATTTGTTAGCTATTAAACATCGAAAAAGCAAAAAATGAGGAATGTACATTGTAGTTGTTGTATATTAACGTTTCAAATGTGTGCCATATAAAAATAAAAAAAAAGTAGAATAGAACAAAAAAAATAAAAAAAAAAGTATAAAATATAAGAAATTTAAAATAAAAATTGTATTCAATATGTCCTTGTTGAAAAATTGTCTACATATGCATGTGTGTGTTTTTTTTTGAATGTTATGTCCTTGTCTCTCGTCCATTTTTTCGTGTATGTATGTATGTATGTATGTTAGTTTTTTTTTCTTGTATTTTTTATTTCATATTCATGCATCGAATTCTTTTTTTTTTCATGAATGTTATTAAACATGTTTTTCTTAATTGTCAGATAATGTTATAAAAATGTTCTGTGTGTTTAATTACAATAAATTTTGAATGTTATAAAGTTGTACTACGATGAACTTTATCAAACTAATTCATTTGTTTTCATTTCAAAAAATTATAGAATTTTTGAAAGTATATTTTTATTTATCATATACATGAAAAATAGAGTATATGTATTAAAACTTCATTATAATAACAAATTATTCTATTTTTCTTCATTTATTGCATTTTAAATATGAATTAAATATCATTCAAATGATAGTTTTCTATTTGATTTTAAACGATTAATAAGAGATGATGAATGATTAAATGTCTTTTGAACTCGTTCATATTTCATAAGATTTGGTATAAGTGTTGGCCATATATACCATTTAATAAGTAAAAAAAGTAAACCATAAAAAAATATACATTTAAATCCACTAAGAAGAAATTGGAAAAAATATACTGAACATGGATATTCAGGTTCTCGACCAAATACTTGATAGTATCGAGCAGAACGAGGTCGACGTCGACTATATATTAAAAGAAATCGAAAAAATTAAGATTCTTCTTAGCTAGTTTAATATAAAAAGAATAAACACACCAAATATTAAACTGCCACGTTGCCATTTACTTGTATATACATTAAAATTTCTTTAAATGTTTTATATTCTAACATTCACCTTTTGTTGACAAATGCATTGCGATAGAAGCGTAATGTATTTTTTTTTAAATCATAACTATTTATTTTATTTTCAAGTAGACAAAAAAATGAACTTTAGTATATTTTATATGAAATCATTCTGTTATGTAGAATCATAAATATTAAATAGGAAATTCAACAAGATCGAAAAGATTTCAATTTTTTACTTTTAGTCGTAATATTATATTTAAAAAACAAGCAACAAACTCGTCTTTTTTTTTGTCTAGATGATTTATAATACACTTGACTACTCATTCGGATGATTGGATTGCATAAATACGTAAGCATTTTACTTTAGTATATATTTATATATATTGAAAGACATGATCGATAGTCACTGTTCATCCATATGACAGTTGATCGTTGTTGATAATTTTTTTCGTTCGTCCGTTTGTTCGTTCTTTTTTTTTTCCTTTCTTTTCTTATTTAGTGAACACGGACAAAAGTCAGTCGATGTCTATCGATGTTCGCTTGTTCACTGGACCATATCACTCATCCGTTTCACCAAATATGTTTTACTCCTATTCTTCCAACATCATTTAACAAAGAAAGACGACGATTCATTATTATTCATAAGAGTAAACTTTCAACGGTCAACTATGTTTTCAAATCCAATTTATAACCTTCCATCACAATTTAATGAAAATTTATTAACACAAAATTTAGCTGGCCTTTCTCTAAATCGTGCTCAACCATATCAAGATCAACAACAACAGCAACAACCACAACAACAACAGCAACAACCACAACAACAACAACAGCAACCACAACAACAACAGCAAAATGTCGATTTTGAAACACTTCAATATTCACAACAACAACAAATGCCAAATGATGCGGAAGGTTATGTTCCACAAACATTTGATGATACCAATGTCAAATGGTCATCACCAGATGAAGTCAGTGCTGCATATCAACGTGGATCTCCTTTTGTACGCCAGTATAATAATTCTATGATTGATGATTATTATAAGAAATTTGTTCGTCCAATTACTGATTATGTTGCTATACCAACAACTGGTCAACCAACTTATGTTTATCAAAGTCTCGATGGACAACAAACAACAAATGAACCATTACCAACTCAACAATCCATGAGTGGAGGTACTAAATGACGATATTTACTAGTTTCTATTTCAAAGATATGATATACTTTCTTTTTTAGGTAATACTATGCCAAACGAATTAAATTCATCTATGTTTACGAATGTTTCACAAACAAATACGGATGGAGCTGAAGAAAAAAAACATAAGAAAAAACATAAAAAACGATCTTCAAAACATAGTCATGGTGATAGTTCTAAACATAATGATACTGAAAAACTAATTGATGAACGGTAGATTCAATACTTCCATTTTTTATAATAAATCTATTTTATTTTATTTTTAAATTTATAGAAAAAATGAATTAAATGATGATGTTGATGTCCAACAAACACCTCCTATGGGTTTAAATGAGCACATTGGTAATACATATCATCAACAACAACAATTGGCTACTACTCTTTCTGAAAGCAAATTGTATGTATAGAAAAAACTTTATGACATAAAACTATTTTATTTTTATTATACTGTAGAAATGGAGGTGGTCCTCAGATACCTATGAAACATGAAGCTAATCCAGTTGTGTATTTTGATATTGAAATTGATGGTGATCCACGTGGTCGTCTTATTATGGAACTTTTTCGTCATGTTTTACCACGTACAGCACAAAATTTCTTATCATTATGTTTAAATGAACATGGTTTTGGTTTTCGTTTATCATATTTTCATCGTATTATACCAGGTTTTATGGCACAAGGTGGTGATTTTGAAAAGTCAAATGGTACAGGTGGTTATTCAATATATGGTGAAAAATTTGAAGATGAAGGTTTTCCATATCTACATGATCGTGCTGGTCTTTTATCAATGGCAAATAGTGGTCCAAATACAAATGGAAGTCAATTTTTTATTACATTTGTTCCATGTCCACATTTAGATAATAAACATGTGGTATTTGGACAAGTTTTACAAGGTTTTCATATACTTAAAGATCTTGATTTGAGTGGATCGGAAAATGGTGATGTATCACGAGAAGTTAAAATTGCAAATTGTGATCAACTTCAATAATTCAAATATAATAACAATTGAAATAGCATTCTCGAATATTTATAGTTATAAACTATAAAAAAGAATTTTTTTTGTATAAAATACAAAAGTCTTTCGTAGTTATTAGTAAATAAAACGTTTTTTTTTCTTATTTATTATACCAGTCATGTCATTGTATTGGTCTTTTGAAAAAATTGAACAAATTTTTGAATAAACATTAATTGATTTGTTTATTTATAATCATAGTTGTTTTTGAAATGATTATTCATTATTATAAAACCAATAAAAATAAGTTTCTAATTCAAGAATTCAGCTAAGATTACATAGATTTACTGTATCAAGTACTATGATATTAAGCATAAAATTATCATTGGTTAAAATACTTTTCTACTACACTCATTTATACAGTTATATACTTTTTGTAAAATATCGTATATCGGCTTGTCCACGTAACGCGACACTTCGCCGATCAAGTTTTTAAAATTTTTTTTTTCGAGTTGAACAGATTTGAACAAGCTACTAGACGCAGTTTTTAACGCTGATTACGAATCTGAGATTTATTTTATAAAAAATTCAGATTTTATTATCAAAAACTGGGTTTTAAACTTTTGAAAAATCGTATTTCGAGTTTTCTACCCAAAAAAGTTTTCCAAAAATTTGCGACAGACATATCATTCAATGCAGAATTGGATTCTCTACAAAATGGCCTATTTAGTTTTGATTTTAATAGCTGGTAACAATTTTTAACCTCCAATACCCTCCCCAACTTCCGGTCCAGTTTTTGAGCTCCCTCGTGGATGAATTAATCTGATTCTTTAGTACACGTTTATCTACACAGTAATGAGTAACCGTTAAAAAATTCAAATCATTCGGACGATATTAACTACCTCAAAAATGGCTCACAAAAAAGTGTGTAACAGCGTTACGAAAAACGTAACAGCGTTACGTTTGTTTTTTGCATTTTTCACACAAACAAAAATAGCTAAAAGGAAATTTTTTTTGGTTTTAGAAAGCTCGTTTAAAGCTCTACAGACTTAGTTCTAAGAGCATTTCTTTTGAACAAAATATATCGCAAGAAATTAGAGTTTTCTTGGTGGTACTGAAGAATAAGGGTCTTTTTATGTAACAGTGTTACGCGACAATGTAACCCTTACAGATATCCGAGGCTTCAACAAAAAAATATCGTTTTTATAGAATAAGTAGAGTTCGATAAGCTGCATCGAATGGCGTTTGAACGAACGTTCTACCTATTACACTTTCCGAGATAATTGAACAAGAATGTGTCAAAAACGTAACAGCGTTACGCTTGGACAAGCCGATATATGTTTAGACATACTATTTGATGATAGACATACCAAAGACATGTATGCATCGAAATCTAATGTTGCAATGTTATCAACTTGTAATTCTACTGTACTGAACAACTGATGCGTCCACGTGTATGATCTTTATTTTAATAATAGTTCATTATCATTGGATGCAAAGCATTTCTAATGTATGAGATTGTTGAACAAATAGAGAATATTGTCAAATATAAGATAGTTAATGGTTTGGTACGTACTACGAAAGAGAAATATTGTGTTACCCTATATACGTCAATGTGTAGAAAGGAAACAACTTATTATTGAATGGGAGAGGAATAATACCTAATTAATAGAAAAAAAGAAGAAAAAATAAATGTACCTGGATATATTAGAGTAGGAAACGACGTGTACACATGAATATGTGGCAAAAGAATCGAAAGAATTTTTCCAAATGAGAGATGTTAGTGACTATTATTTGAATTCTTTCTGAACGAATATTAATGATTCGCTATCAGGTGTCGTTGATAAACAGATACTTCTACTAATTGTATATATTTTGATTCGCTGACAGAAGTCAATAAATAAACGAGTAAATATTTGATTCAAAATTTTTTTGAGAGGGGCAATTGCCACAAATTGCCTCGTGGAGGTCTATCATTACGTACAGTTCCTATGTCGCTTCTGTCATTTTTTGGGGGTTTTTCCTTTCTACAAGTAATTGCGACATCATGTGAAATATATGATGCATGACGAATATATATTCATTCAGGTAGGAAGAAAATATACAAACATATCATATCACCAGCATATAGCGTTACACAGCACGCATTTTATCAGGACTCTGCAATGACAAATCAAACTGTCGTGAACTTCCACACGTTACCGGTAGAAATTGTCTATCGAATTCTGGATCATCAGTCCGATCTCACAATGCTATGCTTAATGACCAATATATGTCAAAGGTTTAACATGATCTTAAATACCTATCATCGATATCAGGTAAACGTTTATCCATCATAACAGTCTAGTTTTTGTCTGATGACTCATAAATTATTTTTTTATCCTAAAATCTCTATACAAATAGAATCGTTTCAATAAAATACATATGAATAAACTGTTTGTTACTTAAACTAATTTATCACTTATTAAACTCTTTTAAATACAATGCCCAGCTAATTAGAAAGAAATAGTTTTTTTTCGTTTCAGTCGCATCAAAACACTTTTTTTATTACTATTTCAATAATAAAAATAACGTTTTGTAAGAAATCAACAATGTATAAACTAGCTAGTTTATACATTGTTATAAATAACGTCTCAGAAATTCATCTACATGTTTCCGACAAATGCTCCTCTGAGAGCATGCGTGACTCCGACTATACGTAACGGCGAATATGGATGGAGAGCAGATTCACTCACAACAACACTCACACTCTCATCCAATCACATTACTTACATTTATACCAGCAAAGTGGAACATTTCTTCAAGGAACGCTACTTCCAAAGTAAATTTCTTTTTAAAACGCTGCCCCGAAACGCATTTCACCTAAAGGAATTTTTCCCAAGAACGAAATTTCAAGAGCACTTCATTGCCAAAATAAAACCATGAGTGCACTTCATAAGAGATATTTATAATTAGACGTTTTAGCATGTATTCGCCTTTCATTCATTATGAATCTGACATTATCCAATACGTTCTTTAACTCTTCCATTTTTATCAATCAATATTGTTTTATACACATAACCCTGTGGTATCATCGGAAGCATCTATCACAATCAGTGAATATTCTTACCAAAACGAGCCATCTCCATTAATTTAGCCAAATCAGACGACTCAAACGATGTTCTAATGCAAAACGTATCTCTGGTCTCGTTCATGAACATGAGCGACCCTCATCCACAAACCACTACTATGAAGCCATATTTTTCCAATATCTACACAATACTAACAAGCGATGCAAGACTTCAAATTCTTTTGCACACCAGCAATTAATACACTATTATTTGTAACTTAGGGCTTTTTCCATATTTCTCAAAACAATTTAAGAATTAAAGCAACTGATACCTAAAAAATTCTACCCATATACAAATATTTTTAACTTCCTTTTAACTCGGCTTTTCACTCAACAATCTCGATCCTTTCACAGAATCTAAACTCAAAGAAGTATTAAGACTCCTATGTATGTGCTCTTCAATGGAGTCCTACCAAACACTTATTACATTCATCTAAACCTACATAACAACAGCCAACTATCCTGTTCCTTCATCTATACCATGTTTTTACTTACACTTTTTCATTTAGACACTCACCACACTAAATCTCTATGGCAACCAAATCGGAGATGTTGGAGCACAACATTTGGCAGATGCATTACAATACAACACAGTAACAGTCTTTCTCTCTCTATCTAAACCATGTTTTTATTTACACTTTTTCATCTAGACACTCACCACACTAACTCTCTCGAGCAATAGAATCAGACATGTTGGAGCACAATATTTGGCTGATGCATTACAACACAACGCAGTAACAGTCTTTCCCTATTTATTTATATCATGTCTTTACATACACATTTTCATTTAGACACTCACCACACTACATCTCAATTACAACCAAACCGGAGATATTGGAGCACAACATTTGGGTGATGCATTACAACACAACGCAGTAACTGTCTTTCCGTATTTATCTATATCATGTCTTTACATACACGGTGTCATCTAGACACTCACCACATTACATCTCTGTGGCAACCAAATCGGTGATGTTGGAGCAGAGCATTTGGCTGATGGACTACGACACAACACAGTACCCGTCTTTCTCTCTTTATCTATACCATGTCTTTACTTGCACTTTTCCATGTAGACACTCACCACACTAAATCTTCGAGACAATCGAATTGGAGCTGATGCTAAACATATAATTTCTGAGTTTCTGAAACGCAACAGGAGCGAGGACAGTCGTGTTCGTGAACCAAAGTATTAGATATGTTCCAATGACGAACAGATAGTGAATGGTGATGATGATGTTGCGTGGATTTTTATTGTGTTGTAATATTTCGAAAAACAATAAATAAAAGTGCTAATTTTTAAAGTTAATGTGTTTTCTGATATTAAATTTTGCTTAGGTTTCGCACTATGTGCTAAGGGGTTGATTTCTTAAAAAAGCTGAACATGGTTTTTTAGAAATATTTTGCCACTCTGTAGTATGTGCAAAAGTAGACTATGGTTGTATAAAAGAACAGTGAAATTCGAGAGAATTGTTTTCAATTAGAATGAATCATAAAAGGCTTTGTAGAGTAATAGCATACTTCTGAAAAATCGTTCCTTGGTGGTTTTGAGTTTCAAAAGATTCCTTTTGAAAATAGTAAAACCCTAAGAAGCTCTTCTGAATGATGCTGAAGCAGGATTCTGTCCGGTGATAGTGAACTATAAAATTTGCTCTCCGATATTGCTGACCCGTAAAATGAATAGTGTCGAATAATTTTGGGGAACAAAAGTTTCTACTTGATAGTACTGAACTTAGAAAGATTCTGTATGGAGTACTGCTGAACCATATATGATTGTTCTAGTTTGGTAGAGGTCTTCATCATTTTGTAGAGGAATCACTATGAATGTATCGACAGAATAAAAGGTACACTATGGAACTGTGTTATAAGAATGAAAACTCTTTTTTCAAAATAGTTTTGTTTACGGTTAAAAGCAGTATCGCATTTAGTTATGTTATTTTTTTATGTCTAACTAAGTAATATTGTTTTAACATCAGATTGGACTGCATTTCTTCTATAATTGAAAGAAGACCAATTTGTTCTTAGTCGAATCGAACGATATAAATTTTCCAATTTGAAACCTCATATAGCTTCTTTCTCTTTCAATAACTTCGGTTGTTTGCTGATAACTAATAATTAAATAGGATTTAGAAGTGTTTAACACTACATTTGTCAACTATTACTTCTACCAGAACAGTGTCTTGTTAACAATAAGCAAAAACACTGCATTTTGCTGCTACATGAAATCTAAGCAATATTCTCAAATTTTTTGCAGTCTTAGAAAAAAATCTGTAACAAGTTTGGAACCAACCATTACAAGATAGTGTTATCAATAAACCTAGTTTCACTTTCATTCCGAGTCTTAGGCTGTCGAGATAGAATAGTTATTTTCAAATCTCTTCTCATTAAAACTAAAAATTGAACTTATATTTATTACAAATATAAACAAATGAGTGCTATAATGAATATGGTTTCTTTCTCTTATCTGAAATGATTTCGAAAAATAATCTCAATCGATACGATACAACTTCACAAAGTTTCACATAATCAAGTCGAAAAGTGATGATGTGTTGAGAAATACCATTAATATTAATTTGAAAAGAATGCGAATCCAAGTGAGATATGCGAGCGATCTATCGATTAGTAATGGAAATTCCTTTTCATAACGTCATTCAGTGGTTTTAAGAGTAGAATATATCTGCATTTACTACTGTGAATAATATATTTAGTAGAGCGCATCTAAGATAGTTAGATATATATATATGGACGTAATCAGCTAGTCTGATACTCTAATCTACTTTCTTTCTGTTGTCTGTTAAAAACGGACCACCTTCGAGCCAAATTATTGTTAATTGAAATATTGACTGCTAAAAACTGTCGTATATAGAATTATTTGGCCCCTGAGATCGTTTGTTCGTTTTTTTTTTGAAAACAAAATATAATGATTCTTTGCATCAACCAGTGATATTGTTAATACTAAATTTATAATTCTTATTTTAATATATATATATATCATTCACACTAAAAACATTACTAGTATATTTTTATCGAGATCAATGAATTGTTATAAACTATTGAATATCAGTACTTTATAATCGAATTTCTATAGTAATATCTGCAACGATTCGATATATCATATACAGAATGATAGATAGGTCAATATTGATATGACATTTTAAAGCTATCAGTAAAATAGTTAGAGCATTATCTTTACTTCTAGATTATGTAAGTCAACAAATCATTGTACTTATTACTGTATGATACAAATTTTAATTATTGATAGTAACTAATTACTACTGATTTTTTACTAATCTTTGTTATATTATACAGTATGAATATTCTATTTTAATGTTTATTGATTGACAAAAGAAACGATATCATCATTACTAATCATTTTAGAAATGAGTGAAAAAAAACTGGAATTGAATAAATTATTCTTCGAAACTATTAATAATTCAATATCTTCTATCTAAATTTTCTCATTTTTCAGTACATTTTCTTTTTTTTTCTCTAATAAATGAACATCAACATTGGTAATGTCATTATTCATTACTCCAGAGATTTAGTCAACTATATTCATGTCATCCATTCTCTTGAGAATCAAATAACGACAAGCACAAATTTCCATTTTATTTGTACAAGAAGGAAAAAAAAGAATACATATATTTATATATATAAATTAGCATATAGAGTCTATTCATCCGGATGTATAAAAAAAGAAGAAGAAGAGGAAGAAAAACAAAACTATCTTTTCTGTCTTATTGATTCATTCCATAAATCAAATAATTGATTTTCTCGTTTAAAACTCGTATAATCTTGATTATCAATTGTTTGATAAATATGTTTTAAATTTGTTGTTGATAATGATGTATCAATTTGACTACTATCTGTTGAATTTGATAGATTTTCATTATGATATGGACATGTTGTTGTTGAATGTGAATGATAAGGACGATAATGTGAATTAATATTTCTTGAATAATATGAAAGATTAGTTTCATTTTTTTTTCTTTAAATTAAATTTATGTATTTGAAAACATAAATAACAACATAAAAATATTAATATAAATGTTATTAAACCTCCAATACATGATCCAATTAATAACATATAGATATTTATATCATAATTAAATTCCATCGAATTTCGATTTGTTGTTTTTTCAAGTATAATTTCATTTGACGTAAGAATAATAAGTTTATCAGTGAAAAACTCTCGACAATATTTATCACGTGCATATTTATGTAATAATATTAGACAGATATGATATTTTTTATTTAATTGAATTTGATTAGATAAAAATATTTCTGTTTGATTTGAATGAAATTTTGGTGACAAATAAAATGGTTCAGCAATACTTATTTGTATCGAATTAAGTATATTAGAATCATCAATAATTGACCATTGAATAAAAAGACCATTGTCAGATGCTATTTTAACATAGGATATATTAAATAGATTAATTTTTGGTAGAGATAATTTAGTTAAACATTGAAAATTTGATGAAAGAAATGTTGTATATGATTTTCGAGATAAACATGTCCATGTTGATGCATTGAATTTATTTTGAAATAAAATCAAGTTTTTTAACCATTCTAAATGACAATTACATTCCAGAGGATTATTTTCTAAATTTAAATAATTTAATTTTTCAAATAATGAATTTTTTTCAATCGATTTTAATTGATTATAACTTAAATCTAACGATGATAATGAATCTTGTTTTGAAAATTTAATTTGTTTTAATAAATTATTAGTGATTGATAATGATAATAAATTTTTCGGTAGATTATTTAAATCTATTGATAATAAACGATTGTAATTTAAATTTAAATCTGTTAAATTTTCATTTAACATCGAGAAATTAAAGGATGTTAATAGATTTTGCGTTAAATTTAATGTTTTTAATTGCGAATTATTTTCCAGAGAAACTGATGAAATAAAATTTTGTGCTAAATTTAAATGAATATACGAGTTTTTTAAATTGATTGCATTTGATATATGATTATTTTCTAAATCTAATATTTGTATATTTGATAAATTTGGTATCTGTTTTATTTGACATGAACGTAAATAAATAATTTCAAGTTTGGTCATATTGGAAAAAGTTTTTTCGAAATTTATTTCACTTAAATCAAATTGATTAAGTTTAAGTATACGAAGGTTATTCAATGGATAACGTATTAAAAATTCTAATGAATTTATATGATTATCACCAGTAAGAATTAATTCTTCTAAATAATTTCCTAATAAACGTAATAAATCATTATCAATAAATGTTAATGAATTATTTTCTAAATTTATTCGTTTGATTGTTTTGATATTATCAAATGATGTACGTAATAAACTTGTTATATTATTATTTGATAATATAAGTTCATCATATGGAAATGAACGTTTAAATGTTGGAATTTGACTAAGTGTTTTTTCTTCACATTTTATATATGAATCACCATTTGTTAATATTCCACAATGACAACGTGATAAATAATTATCAGTTAATGGACAAGATTTTAGTGAATTTATTAGAAGAAATAAAATAAAGAATGCAAACATCTAAAAAAGACAAAAAAAATTATATATACATATTTATTCACGATAGTATAAGATTAATATTCGATAAAGTTGAAGACAGACTATACTGACTTATCTCTCTCGAGCTTTACCATGTGTTCTACAATTTCTTCTTTTTTTTCAATTGTATGAGAGCAAAAGAGAAACAAAGGAAAAGTCGATTATCTTTTTCAATAGCTGATTGATATTCTATTCTATGTACAGTTGCCGAGAGACAAGTGGGTAAAATGACAAGAATAACAGTCGAGTAAGAGTTTTCTGAATCATTCGCATAATAGGAATAGAAAAAGAAAGAATGATAAGAATCAATACTCATATGTGTATATATATAATGATCTTAAAAAAACAATCATGTATGATGTAAGCTAGTAAATAAGTAAGAGATAGGCTAAAAGTATATACTCATCTTTATCGAATTCTGAGAGCTGTTGATAATATACTATTGAGGCATGGCGCATGTCTCATCGCTGTCGGCAGTCTAGTTCATTGACCGTTACCCCCACTGTGTTAAGAAGACAAAAAAAACTAAAAAATCGATTGTCACTTCATTCCATGATGATGACCACAACATTAAGTGGTTTAATAGAATTGAAATGACAGGAAAAGAAGTTGCCGTCACCCATCACAACTTCTTCTTCTTAGACATCAACAAACCGGATGATAGACATACATGCATGCATACATGTATATAAAATCATATTGTAGATGAATAGTTCATCAATACATACGTATGTTGCTTGTGTAATCTTACTTGACACTCTCCGCCCATTTCAACAACATAGAAAGAGCAACAAAAAAAGTCAAAAATGTATGATGATGATGATGTAATAAATCCGATGTGCATGTCGAGTCAACAAGAAGAACTGTAATAATGATAAAAGAGCGAGAAGGAGGAAGAACAACAATAACAATACTATTGCATGACTTACTATGAGAAAGATCATCTATTTGTTTTGTACGTTGAATGAATAACGAATATTGTCTATAGTTTGTATCTCAAGAGAGAAAAATGAGAGAGAGAGAGAGGGAGACAACTAATCAAATGAATGTTCATTCCTTTTCTTATTCACTTAATTGAAAAATATTAGTGTACCATGAATTAAATATGTATATGAATGAATAAATGACAATGAGAGAAGAAGAAGAAGAAGAAGAAAAAGCTTTAAATGAATTAAGAGCTTCAATCAAGCGCCTATACATATATATATATATGTGTATGCATGTATGAATGTGTATACACTCTCAACTTAAAACATCGATCACTAAAAAGAAAAACGATTATCGGCTTCCCGTGTCGGTCACATAGGACTGAAGAGAAGAAAAGAATCAACACCTGTTAGAAAAAGAAAAACTAAAAGGTGCGAAGTGGCTGATGGTATATGCTCTAATCTTCAAATAGGTCTAGTATGCAATTCATTAAAATGATAAGTGGTTTCATTTTGATTTCTGTACTGGACAGGTGAAGCCATTTTTTTCTCTGCCTCTCTCTCTCTCTCACCCTTATCAATCTCATTTTGAAGAGGTCGAATATTATACCAAAAGATTCATCATTACTGACAATATATATGCAAATATTCGAACCATGAAATGGTCCGTTATCGATAAGACGAGGAGTAAAGAGCGAACATACAAATACATACTCATCATTACGCTACTCAAGCATGCATGCCCTTAACAAAGGTAACAACACTCCTACAATTGAATTAGACGCGTCTTCGATATGGATGAATTGGCAAGTATTGTCTATAGTAAAACTATGATGATGATGATCGATTCATAGTAATTTGTTCAAGTGTTGTTTTTTTCGTTTGAATACATATACTGACATATGGCTGACGTGTAATATGAAAAAATTATGAATAAAATCAAAATAAACCGATTTAGTTTTGATAGACAGAATCAATAAATAAATATATTTGATAAGAATATGAGCTTAAAAGCAAACAATCAACACTATGTGAATGACATAGACAGACAAACACAAACAAGAGAAAAGAAGGAATGAAAGAAAAGAAGTTTTTTGAATTTTTAACAATATAATGACGGTGATAGCGGTGACGGAAAGGAAGGTTAAATGAGTCGAAATTAAGCTCAAACGTTGACAGTATGTTCATAGATTTTGTCAGCTATGTACACATCCTGTCATATCAATGGATCAGATCTGATAACAGACGAGTACGATATTGTCAACAAGTGAATTTTATTATTTCGCACATTTGCTAGTTGAAATCTGATAGAGAAAGACTTATGCATATAAAATATAAGGAGAGAAAGAGAGAAAAAAAAAGAGTTTACAAAAATTAATGTACTAATTGACTCACGTGGTATGCTGAGTTGTTCTTCACAGGGTCAATCATCATTTCGATTGAAATAGTTGTGCCTCGGGGGTGACAAAATGATTAGTAAAAATTTTTTTCTGCACAGTGGATATTTGATTACTTTCGACGGACACAAGATGAGATAGAGGAAGGCAATGACATACATCATATGAAGTAGAAAAAAAAATAGAAAAAGTCACTGTTCATTCGATCGTATACGATATGATCAACTTTGTCCTTCGAAAAAGAAATAGAATTTGATGAAAGCGCGTCATCGGGGTCCTACGGTTCCCTACTATTCTAGTCAATTAATAATGTGCGAGTTCTCCATTCTAATGTGATTAGACAACGGCAATACAACTACTACTGCTGCTATTACTGTCCTTTCTCTTATTTCTTCTCGTATTTTCTTTATTTCTCTCATATTCTTAGTTATTTCAGTTCAATTTATCTTCTTCTTTGTTCGTCTACGAAGGTTATAGAAAAAACATGAACATCTTAGAAACATAAACTAAAAATTAACACTCTCACTAGATTAATCATCTCTCTAATGAATAGCAAGCTTTCTTCGCAATTTCTTTAGGGGATCTCATATACTCCTACATAGACACAATCTATGTTTGTCAACTGAAGGCCATACTCAATCGTGACTGATCAATCGATTTTCGACTGTGCACCACTTGGTTATAATGATAGAGAAAAAAAACGAGTGAAAGCGTTTGCATGGTTGATTGAAGTTCGATGATTAAACTCAACTAGACTGTTCATATGATGACTAATAATGAGCATATGACCGTATAGCGTAGCAAATGTACACATATAAATATATATATACATAGGCTCTTTGATATGGAAATATGCGTGCTGGTGATATCGCATTTCAACGTTTTTAATTGTATAATGTTTTAGCAATGATTCGGGGCGGTGAGCATATATATGCTCGTTGATGTTATTAAGAAAGAATCGAAGAAAAAAAAAAGTTAATCAGCAATTGTTTTTCCATTAAATACAATATAATGCTTGAGGCAGCCGTCTGTCCTTTCTGTATTCTATTCCTGTCACATCATTGTCGAAAGTTATCTGTCAGAAACTCATCCGCGCTCATCATTTAACAATCATATATATATATGGATGCATACATATAGTTTGACCTTCTACTGAAGAGTTGTACTAATCTGCGTATCCATTCAGTTTGAACCTATTCATTATAATAAGAAGCTATGTTTGCATGCAATAGTTGTCATTTATTGAGAAAAGAACATTTGAACTATTCAATCATATCGATAAATGTTTATACTAAAAGACAAGAGATTAATGTCAAAATAAGATATTGATTTGATAATATTAAATTTTTTGATTTGATTTTAAAAGATATTTATTTTTAATAGATTTCATAATAATAAATTTTAGATTTCAAGATAGAAATCATTAGATAAATCAGTCAATTATAAACATACAAGCGATTAGATAATTATTACATAAACGATAATCGTTATGATTTAGTTAATATCATCATATTATCGTCTATAATCAATTCCATATTCACTAATAGAATAAAAAAAAAAAGGAAAAGAATAATTACATATTTCAGAAACTGTATGATGTCATATATTTGGTACACTATTCTAACTAACTAACTTCCAATGGTTCTGTATACTGGTGATAATAAACTACCAAACGAATATCATCAACATAAATAAGATGATAAATATGTCGATAACAGTCGTACGTATAAGTGACAAATGTCTAATATAGAAAAAATAAGTGGACTATTTTCTCGTTTAGTTTTAGTTTCAACACATTATTATAACCTCTCTCTCTATATATATCTTTAATGGTATTTTCTTTAGATTTAACTATGAGTAAAAATAAAAAAGCTGATTTTGGAAATAGATTTTCTCAAACAATTTCAAGATTTTTTAATATATTTACATTCTGTTCTCGACAATCAACATCATATCTAATTAATAATTCATCTTATCCAAGTCCATTTATTATATCAACTCCTGTTATTTCACGACGAAATATGTATTTATATAATCATGTCAAATTGACTTTTTATCCAAGAAGTTTTACTTCTATTGATCGAGTATGTTTTATATATGTCAAGAATCTTAGAATTTTTTTTGTTTGCCTTCGAAGAAAAGACCAAAATTGTCGGCATTTATCTTGATCCGAGGTCAAGTTTTAAGCACCTCAATACATTCATTCTTTTTTTCTTCTTCTTCTTCTTCTTCTTCGTCGTCTTTTCGTTTTTATATATAACATTCTACTTTATCTGCTCATATGCAGCAGATGTAAATCGTCGTTTTGTAATGTCTCATTACTGCGCATTTCTTCGTTTTTCTTTAAGTTTCTTTTACTACTATTGAAAAGAAAAAAAAAAGAAAATTATAAATAGAGTGTGAGCAGATGAGCACGTTCAAATTCGAATCATTTTTTCTTCTTCTTTACTTTCATATGCATTTACATATGATGCACTATACATGATAATATTTTATGAAAGAAATATAAGGAGTGTGCAAATAAGATAGATTAACTAAGGACGTATACAGACATTCGTGTTTTTTTTTATTTGGTAAGTATTTCGAAAAGTATGAATGAGAGAAAAGCAATCGACTAGATTGTATTTATATATATATATATATATTTTGTAGAAATGTTTCTCGAATCATTCAATATCATAAATTGAATTAGTCAATTCGGATTTGTATATTCAGAACGATAATATAATACTTCGCATGGTTAAGAATGTTGATAGGGCAAGTGGACATTTATACAGAGATAGAACAGGAAAAAAAATATATATACTGCATTGTTATTGTTAGACATGTCAAAACAAGCCAATATACTCTTCTTCGTCTTCTTCCTCATCAACATCGTTCATTTCAAACTGTCAATCAACTAGTATAATATCATCTATTTCTTCGACTCATACTGACATGTTGAATAACGATACGGAAATTATTGAAAAACCATCATTATCCTCGTCATCATCACCTCCTCCAACAACAACAACATCTCATTTTTCTTATTTAATTCGACCAACAACTCCTTGTATATTTGGTCGAGAAACTTATAATAATGAAGATGAACAAATGAATGATGATGAATTTTTTTTAACTGCTGGTGGAATTGTTCATTCTTGTCCAAATATATACGAACTATCAAATGATAATAATCGAAAACTTCAATCATGTGATCATTTAATATATATTGATCAACAAACAGCATTAGTTAATAGTAATCATTTAAATTGTTATGATACAGAATTTGATCGTTATTCAATTTTACCACGTTTTCAACCGCTATCATCATCATCAACATCAATATCAACAGATTCACTTAATTCAGAACTTGAATTATATAAAGAACGACATGCTATTGGACTTTGTCGTCAATATCATGATGATACATCAACATGTTCATCATTTTTACCAACAACATGGAAATCTGATAATTATCTTTTATTTATGCCATTTATACAACATCATCATCATCATTCTTCATTTTTAAATTCAATTGATCATGGAAAACGATCACGTTCACATGATATATCAATTGAACAAACATATGCATCTATTATTGCATAAAACTATTTTCTATATTCCCTGTGATATTCTATGCTATGTGAAATTTGTTCTTGATTGAAATAAATCATTCATTGCTTTTTGTAGACCTTGGAATTTAAATTTATAACTGAATATGACATGACCATGGTAGAAAATTTAGATTATCGATATTAACTCGATGACATTAACTCAAATCTTGTCTGTCAGGTAGATATTACTATACAGTAGGAAATGTCATACAATATATGTATATATCTAACCTTCATCTAATCATTTATGATTATATGAAAGTTTATCAAATTGTTCAAGTCTTTTTTTTTAATTCTATCTTACGTTCTTTATGATTATTGTATTTAATATGAAGTACTGTTGATTGATATTATTGTCAAATTAACTGACAAGATTTCAATAAATCTATTTTTATTTATTTTTTCTTCGGTTGAAACATGCCAGCCGTTCGTATCTTATAGTGTTGACACATATGTATTCAATTTATATTGTATTGTAACAGAACGATAGCAAATGTGACCTTGTTGATTATCCATTCACTAAGTTATTGTATAATAGTTGCATTTAGAACTATAGCATAGTATATAATTTATTAGAATTAACAAAATATAAAAATCAGATTGGTTTCTATCAATTAATAAATAATTTTAATTAAAATAAAGAAAAAGAAAAAAATACATCTAATCAATTTTATATGGTAATACTTTATAAGGATTAAGAATACATTTAGGATCAAACATATGTTTCATTTGTTTCATTAATTCTAATGAATGTTTGCCTTTATTTAATTCAAGATATTTGGATTTATGTAAACCTAAACCATGTTCAGCTGATACTGAACCATGTTCTTTAGCAACCCATTCATATAACCATGGTTCAAGTGCTTGTTTAATATCATCAGAATAACCATCTTTTACTGTTACATTTAAATGAAGATTTTGATCACCTAAATGTCCAAAACCTGTAACATTTCCAACATTTGAAAATTGTTTCATGCGTTCTTCTGTTTCTTCAACTAATTTATACATTCGAGATGTTGGTAAAGAAAAATCATATTTAAATACATAACCATCAGCAACAAGTGCATCTGAAACACGTTCACGTATAGCCCATATATCTTTATATTGTGTAAGATCTTGTGCAAGTGTACCATCTGTTACAAATTCTTTTTCAAGTGCTGTTGTAGCTAATTTTTCTAATGTTGCTTTAGCTTGTTCATCAGTTGAACTCATTGTTTCAATTAAGATATAAAATTTATTTGATTCAATTGGTTTATTTGTTCGTTGTAAATATTTTAATGATAAATTATATGTTGATTCATCTAAGAATTCGATTGCTGATAAAGTTTCACCACAAATTTTTCTTGCTAATCGCATTGTAGAAAGAATTTGTTCAAATGATGAACAAGCAAAAAAACCAAGACCAACACCTGACATGAGTGATGGACATGCTAATGCAACACGTGTTACTATACCTAAAATACCTTCTGAACCAATAAATGGTTGTTTAAGATCTATACCAGTATTATCTTTTCGTATTGATGTTAAACAATCAAGTAAACTACCATCAGGTAAAACAACTTCTAAACCAAGTACAGCTGAACGAAGTGAACCAAATCTAACAACACGTAATCCACCAGCATTTGTTGCAACATTACCACCAATTAAACATGAACCTTTTGCACCTAAATCTATTGGCATAATATGTCCATATTGACGTACATGAGTATCTAATTTTTCTAATACACAACCAGCATCTGTCGTTAAAACACCACTATTTTCATCAAAATTACCAATAGAATTAAGTAAACGTAATGAAAGTATAATTTCATCAAAAACTGGTACTGATCCACCTGAAAGTCCAGTATTTCCACTTTGTGGACATACAGCTAATTGATGTTCATTACAATAACGAAGAATTGCTTGAACTTCATCAACAGTTTTAGGTCGAAGAACAAGTTGAGATTGTCCTTGACATGATTTTATATAATCTATATTAAAAGGTAAACATTCATCAGGATTTGTTATTGTACGTCCACTGGAAAGAAGTCGTTCAAAAAAGCTTACATCTTTATCAGTCAATGTAGCATAATGAGTAGAACGACGTAATTTAGGATGACGGACACGAGTCAAGGCAGATGTTGAAAGACGACGGATAGTTTGAGACCACATTATGTATTATCTAAATCTAAAAAGATATTGTATTACAATCAAATAAACAAATAGTAAAATGATTCGTCTTTTGAATCGACCAACTCAAAAAAAAGAATCTAATCCTTTCTTTCGAAAGGTAGCGCCGTCTGTATAACAAAAATATATTGAAAGAATGGTTCATTGTTTATTATACCAAATTAGATTTATCTCTTTTATACGCACGTTCAAAAATTGTAATCAGTTATTGTTATTATTATTTCTCTTTCATCTATTCCGTTGTACTCAAAGAATAATTTGTAAGATAGTTCATTCTTTTCGCTTACAGGAAGCGTCGCTTTACATTTCGAGATAAATGAAATGAATACTGATCATTAACTATTTTCCACGGTATATGTGAGGATCGTTTATTAGTTAAATTCGTTATTGTTGAAAATGTACATGTATTCTTTCTCGCTATTGTTTTATATGTAGTGGAAGCCTTTCAATTAATTCTCGATGTTTTTCATTAGAATTTTGTTTAATTAATGATGATGGTAATTTTTCAATAACATTATTCGAAAGTATTTGTCGATATACAAGATCTTCAATACATTTATAAAGTACACAAGAATCAATATTAGATTCAAGACAAGAATATATGAAAGAATTTAATTCATTGATTTGTTCGTCTGTTAAACCACGAGGACGACAAAGAGTTATTTTTGGTGAATTTAAATCTCGATATGTTGATAGAAGTTCTGCAATGAATTCTATACATAATAAACGTTTATCACAATCAAACTCATTTTCATCTCCATTAGAATATATTGTTATATTTAAAGAAATTGGATGTTCTTAATTTATAATAAAAATCATCCATATTGTTATCATTATGATTGAAGTTATTTTAAGTGAGCAATGAGAAGAATAGCGCTAGTAGTATTCAATTAAATATGTTTATATTAAAATAAATAATTTTTTATCCAATCGATATCATTATGATATTGTTTACTAATCTATCCTTTATTTGTAATTAATCGATTCGGGTATTATTGTAATATAAATAAACTTTGTGAACATTGTTAGAACATTTGTCAAGTACTCTATAGTATAACTCTAATGATCAATATTGAATAAAACATTTAATTAGAACTTTAAAATAGAAATCTATAGAATATTATTATAATATAAAGGTTTGGAATAGAAACAATCATATATAAGAATACCTGTTCTGCAATGATGTGTAAATACTATTTGTATAGAATATGATATTAGTTTTTACTTATGTTTCTGTATAGAGTCAGATGATGCATTTTTTTTATTTATTAACCGATAATAAAGCATTATTTGCTTTTGTTTACAAAAGCATATAGATCATCTTATATTCCGTATCGAAATATAGAATTACATTGTAATATTTCGATTCAAAAGACATAGTGCCGATAAGAATATTATGAATTGATCTTTGATACATTTCATTTTTCACTTCTACCCGATAATTGTGAAGATTTTCGTAGGTTATCATCATTTTATTCAACATATATTTATATGTATTTTCTAGATTGGATATTAAGTAATACTATCAAACGATTTCCTATTCTAGCTGAAAGTGAATGTGAAACATTAATTATTGGCGCTGATAGTTTTACACTAGATGGTCGATTAATAATGAATGAAATGACTGAAGTTAGTTATTTATTCAATGAATAGAAATATTTCATACAATAAAGAAATCTTTAGATTGATAATTATTTCATTGCATTCGGTTCTAATGGACATGGTATAGCACTTGCTGGTAGAGTTGCAGATTATATAGCTGAATTAATACATAATAGAAATACAAATTTCAGTACATGGTCTGTTGATATACAAATAAACGATTTTTTCAAGATCGCTTATGAGAAATACTAGGTAAAATTTTAGATATTTTCTTTTTTTTTGATTTTATTATATTAATTTATAATAGGAAGACAATATTCGTTGAAGCATCCAGCTTATGGTGAAGTACTTGGTTCTGAACGTCCACTATGTTTTAAACCAGATGGAGGAGGAAAAAGTATTTTAAGACTAAAAGAAAATGTTTTTTAATTTCTTTTTTTTGGTAATATAGAAGATTTTGAAGATTTAACAAAACAAGGTACATTCGGTAAAGCACGATAATTTAATACAGTTAAAAAAGAATATCATTCAATCATTTTAGAAAATTGATGTTAGTTTTGTTAGTCACATATATGCAATGCGATTAACACATACTGGTGAAGATGGTTTTATGTTTTTTATTCCATCAGAAATAAAATATATTTTATACTTGTTGATGATTATTTTTCTTTTCTAGTATGCTTTATGTGTTTACGATATGTTAATGAAACAAGGTAAAGATTATGGAATAATCAATACTGAGTAATATTGATAATTTTGATAAATTCCTATTCATGTATATTAATTTAGATACTTTGCTCAACAAACTCTTCGAATTGAATGTATGTACCCATCTTGGAGACATGATATCGATAAGAAAACAATATCATTTCATTTAAATCGACAATATCATATATCATTTTATGTAAAAATAGAATCTAACGACAAGATGGTATATAAAAACGATTTATTCAATTTCTTCTTGAAGATCATAATCTTGATTCAGATCCATGGTTATTGAAATACTAAGTGGTGAACCTATTTATCGTAATGGTGAATTTTCTGGATTTGTTACTTCTACAGTATATGGTTTTACATTTGAAAAACAAGTATAAAATATAAAAAAGCAATCTGTAATTCTCATATATATGTATATATATTTTCATAGGTCTGTTTAGGATTTGTTCATGCACCTTCTTCAGAAAGAATCACAGTCAATTATATTCGTGGTGCCACGTATGAAATTAATATAGCAACTAAACGATTTAAAGCACGTTTTAATGTCTATCAACCAGCTGAAATGAATCCTACAGTTCTACTATATATAAATTAATTTTTTAATAGTATATCTCGTCAAATCTCAACGAACAGTCAATATCTATCAATACTTTAAAAACTTTATTTTTCTCATTAAAAACATTTGTAGAATCCATGTTTTCAATATATGCTCATATTTAATGAAAATAAAAATTAATTTATATATTCTATTATAGAATAAATATAAATATCTGTGGATTATCTTTTTAAAACATCTTCAGTTAATTTTTCATAAATCACAAGCAAAATTATTAGAAAAAACTACGTTATTATTTATTTACTTTTCAGTTTTCTTTCATGAATAAACATTCGTAGATTTATGTTCAATTCACTAGCTAGAAAAAAACGTCACTCTCTTTGAGTAACTATATACGAACTAAAAAATAAACTGTGCATGTTTGCATCTATTTGTAAATACTCAAAAATACCTTTTGTTGAGTCATCATATACGAGCTAAAAAATAAACTGCGTATGTCTTTATCCACTTGTACATACTGAAAAATCATTGTCTTGGGGTTATTGTATACGAATTAAAAAATAAACTACGTATGTCTGTATACACGTATACATACTCAACAATCCCATTCTTTGAGTCATTATATACGAACTAAAAAATAAATTGCGTATGTCTATATCCACCTGTACATACTCAATAATTCCCTCTCTTTGAATCACTGTATACGAACTAAAAATAAAATGCGTATACGTGTACATATAAAATATCTCTCTCTATGCGTCATTGTATACGAACTAAAAAATAAATTGCGCATGATTATATACACCTGTACATATAAAAAATCACTCTCTTTGAGTCATTATATACGAACTAAAAAATAAATTGCATATGTCTATATCACTTGTACATACTCAATAATTCCCTCTCTTTGAGTCACTGTATACGAACTAAAAATAATCTGCTTACGTCTTCATCTAACTCTATATACTAAACAATCCTCTCTCTCTGCGTCATTGTATACGAGCCAAAAAATAAATTGCGTATGTCTGTATCTACCTGTACATACTCAACAATCCCTCTTTTTGAGTCATTGTATACGAGTTAAAAATAATATGCCGACGCCTTTATCCAACTGTATATACTAAAAAATCCCTCTCTTTGCATCTTTGTATATGAGCTAAAAATAATCTTTATCCCTCTCTAAAGCTAGATATGATACTCTTTCTTTGTCTGTCTCTCTCCGACAACGAAAAAACAACTTTTTTTCGTTGATTGCTATTTGCTTGACGATCGGCGTATATAAAGCCGAAGCAAATCCTCATAATTCACACAAACATATTCATCCCCTATTATCATATATCTTCGAACAATAACCAATTATAATGAACAACAACATTATTAAAATGAGTGGCTTCGTTATTATGTTAATGGTAGCAATTTACATGATTCAGGGTGCAACAGCTGAACATTCTGCTGTAAATTATCGGCTTCGTCATTTAATCAACAAACGTACGGGTCCTTCATTTTTCACGAGGCTTTCCTACTAAGCACAGCACACGTACTCCTTATAATATACCTCCCAGCATTCGAATAGTACCATAATAAACACTCCTTTGTCATGTGCTCTCCAAAGATCCCACTAATTTCACACCTCTCCCTGATTTCGAGCAAAATATATAAACAAACTCTTGCTATGAATTTTTCGTTACCCGTGTGTTCCAACACCATGTAATGAACTCGAAATCATTGCATAGAACTGAACAAACTATTTGGATAGAATCTTGCTATGAATTATTCATTTATGATGTGTTTGTCCGCACCGTAGTGAACTCGAAGTAGTCATTTCAAACTGACCATAATATCTAAAATGAATGCTTGTTTGACCTGTTCATCCATCGTGTGTCCCTCCAACATGCAAGATAATCGAAATCTTTGCTTCGAACTAAAGAAAAGTTTTAAATAGAATCTTACTATGAACGATTTATATGTTGTGTGCATCTTCGTCTTGTCATAAATCCGAAATCTCTGCTTCGAATTCGATAATATATCCGAAATGACTGGTTGTTTGAACTGCTTATCAGTTGTACATTCTTCCACTATGAGATGAATCGAAATTCTTTACTTCGAGCCGAGCGAAATATTTGAATAGAATCTTGCTATGAATTATTCATTTATTGCGTGTCCTCCATCACGTTAACCAATTTGAGATCCTTGCTGCGAACTGCCCAAAATATTTGACTAGAATTTTGATATAAATTATTCAATGATTTTATGTGCTTCTACCATGTAATGAACTCAAAATCTTTGCTTCGAACTGACCAAAATACCTGAAATGCAGGTTTGTTTGGGCGTTCCATTTGTTGTATGTTCCTCCACCATGTATTGGACTAAAGATCTCTGCTTGGAAGCGAGTAAAATATTTTGATAGAATCTTCTTGGTATGGATTATTCATTTATTGTGAGTTCCTCCACCATATAATGGACGCGAAATCTTTGATTCGAACAGAGCAAAGCATCTGAACTGAATATTTGTTTCAGCGTTCTATTTGCTGTGTGTTCCTTCACCGTGTAGTGAACCCCTAATCGTTAGTGCGAACCAAACAAAATATTTAAATAGAATCTTGGTATGAATTGTTCATTTGTTGAATGTTCCTCCACCATGTAATCGACTAGACATGTTTGCTTCGAACTGACCAAAATATTTCAATAGAATCTTCCTATGAATTATTCATTTATTGTGTGTTCCTCCACCATGCAGTGAATTCGAAAAACGTTAGTGCAAACTGAAGAAAATATTTGAATAGAACCTTTATATGAATTATTCCTTTATGTTGTGTTCGTCCACTATATGATGAACTCGAAATCTGTCCTTGGAACTGAACAAAATATCTGAAATGAATGTTTGTTTGAGCTGCCCATTTGTAGTGTCTTCTTCCAGCCTGCGAAGAACCAGAATCGTTGGCTTCGAGCTGAACAAAATATTTGAATAGAATCGTCTTATGAATTAATTATTTGGTGCGTGTTTTTCCATGATGTTATGAATTCGAAATGGTTACTGCAAACTGAAGAAAATATTTGAATAGAACTTTGGTATGGATTATGCAATTATAGTGTGTTCCTTCACTATGTAATGAACTGGAAATCTTCGCTTCGAACTAAACAAACTATTTGGATAGAATCTTTCTGCTCTTTTGAATTGTTCATCCGGTGTGTTTCCCCATCATGTAATGAACTCGAAATCATTAGTCCAAACTGAAGAAAAGATTTGAATAGAATTTTCATATCAATTATTCATTTATGGTGTGTTCATGCACCATGTAATCAACTCGAAATCTTCTCTTTGAACTGAACCAAATATCTCAAATGAATGTTTGTTTGAGCTGCTCCTTTGTAGTGTCTTGTTTCACCATGTGATAAACCGGAAACTTTGGCTTTTAACTGAATCAAATATTTGAACAGAATCTTCTTCTGAATTATTCATTTGTTGTGTGTTTCTCCATCATATAATGAACTCGAAATCATTGATGCAAACTGGCGAAAATATTTCCATACAATCTTTCTGGTATGAATTATACTTTTGTTATGTGATCCACCCCTATGTAATAAACTCGAAATCCTTGCTGCGAACTAGCCAAAATATTTGACTAGAATCTTGCTATGAATTATTTCTTTATTGTAAGATCCTCCACAATGTAGCGAACTTGAAATCTTCCCTTCGAATTGAACAAACTGTTTGAATAGAATCTTTCTCTTATGAATTTTTCATTTCGTGTGTGTGTCTGCATCTTGTAGTGAACTGGAAGCCGTTAGTGCGAACTGGAAAACATATTTGAATTGAATCTTCCTATGAATTATACTTTTGCTATGTGTCCCTTCACTGCGTAATGAACTTTAAATCTTTGCTTCGAACTGAACAAACTATTTGAATAGAATCTTGCTAGGAATTATACATTTGCTGTGTGTTTTTTCATCATATAATGAACTTGAAACGTTCGCTTGAAACTGAGCATAATATCTAAAATGAATGTTTGTGTGAGCTGTTCACCAATCGTGTGCTCCTCTCCCATGCAAGATGATCGAAATCTTTGCGTCGAACTAAAGAAAAGATTTGAATTTAATATTACTATGAACGATTTATTTTTGGTGTCTATCTTCGTCTAATGCTGAACTCAAAATATTTGCTCCGAATTGAGCAATATATTTGAAATGACTGTTTGTTTGAAGTGCTCATTACTTGTACGTTCTTCCACTATGTAGTCAACCGAAATTCTTTACTTCGAGCCGAGGAAAATATCTGAATACAATGTTGATATGAAACATACATTTATTGGGTGTCGTCCGTCACGTAATCAATTTGAAATCCTTGCTGCGAACTAGCCAAAATATTTCACTAGAATCTTGTTATGAATTATTTCTTTATTTTGTGTTCCTCCACCATGTAATGAACTAGAGATCTTTGCTTTCAACTGAGCAAAATACCTGGAATGCAGCTTTGTTTGAACGATCCACTTGTTCTATGCCCCTTGACCATATAATGAACTAGACATCTTTGCTTCGAACTAGCTAATATATTTGACTAGAATCTTCCTCTTGGTGCTCTTGGTTGTTTCAGCGTTCCATTTGTTGTGTGTTCCTTCACCGTGTAGTAAGCTCGAAATCGTCAGTACGAACTGAACAAAATATTTGAGCAGTATCTTGATATGATTTATTCATTTGTGGTATGTTCCTCCACTAGGTAATGATCTGAAAATCTTTGCTTCGAATTGGACAAGCTATTTGAATAGAATCTTCGTATGAATTATACTTTTGTTATGTGTTCCTCCCGTATGTAATAAAGTCAAAAGTTTTCCTTCGAACTGAGCAGAATATTTGAATAGAATCTTGCTATAAATTATTCATTTATTGTATGTTCCTCCACCATGTAATGAATTCGAAATCTTTGATTTTGAACTGAGCAAAATATTTGAATAGAATCTTGGTATAAATTATTCATTTATTGTATGTTGCTCCAGTATGTAATGAACTCGAAATCTTTGCTTCGAACTGAACCAAATATGTGAAATGAATCTTTGTTTGAGCTCCCCATTTGTAGTGTCTTTGTTCACTATGTGATGAACGAGAAACTTTGGCTTCGAACTGAACAAAATATTTGAATGTAATCTTCTTGTGAATTACTCATTTGGTGTGTGTTTCTCGAGCATGTAATGAGCTCGAAATCGGTAGTGCAAACTGAAGAAAAGATTTGAATAGAATGTTGGTATGAATTATTCATATATGGTGTGTTCCTCCACTATGTAATGAACTCGAAATCTTTCCTTGGAACTGAATAAAATATCTGAAATGAATATTTGTTTGACCTGCCCATTTGCAGTGTTTTCTTCCATTATGTGGTGAACGGGAAACTTTGGCTTTGAACTGTACGACATATTTGAATAGTGTCTTGCTATGAATTATTCATTTGTTGTATGTTCTTCCACCATGTAATGAAGTCAAGATCTTTTATGGGAGCCGAAGAAAATATTTGAATAGAATCTTCTTGTGAATTGTTTATATGTGGTGAATTTGCTCGGTATAGTTGCATGTTGTTAT